GTGGGGTGGGAGGGTGTTCCTGCTCCTGTGGAAGCAAGGTGGCCCTATGATTTGGGTAACAGGTCCAGGCTCCAGATTTCACACCTCCTGGCTCTTCCTTCAAATCACCAACACTGAACATCTCAGAGGCTCCTTACACTTTCCTCCCTCACTCCGCGAAACCCAGAAGCTGTCTTCAGCTCCACAACAGAATTTGAAATTCTCTATCAAGTTCATTAATTCTTCTTGGTCAAACAAATGCTAACTTTTCTCAATTTTCAAATTGCTCACTTGTCCACTGGCTATCACCACTCCCTTTCCACTCAGCAACACCAGCCCTCCTAGCTCTTGAATCATGCCTTTCATTTCAAAAGCTAGTGCCCGTCCCTTTCCCCTTTCTAGATCCACTCCCTTCTGGAGGCTCGTCTTGCCTGTTTGGTGATGACGCTGCAACTCTTCTCTTCCTCACACTACACTTCTCCACAACCTGCCACTTAATGCTGCCTAAAACGTTCTGCATTAGAACCTCTCAATGGCAGCAAAACTGGCAAACACTAAGCCACCCCACCCCCCAAACCGGCACTTCTTTCCTACTTTTCTGGCAAAGGTACTTCTCTGTTTGCTTCTCTGGGCTTATAACCTTAAATGTAACTTATAGCCTCTTCTCCTCCCACCCCTACCATATTCTGTTAGCCAATTACAGGCCACTAGAATCACAGAATTCTGAATCCAGAGATAATATACTTAATGTCCTCCCTATGGACAATGCGTCCCATTAATAACCAAGCAGACAGCAGAATCCAGGACTCACTCCTATTTTGTCATGCTGTTTCTTCTACTACCTGTGTGCTCCACACACATCTGCTATGAGAGATTCAAGAATGTGGGGGCCTAATCCTTCATTCTAGAGAGTTCACATTTTAGTGGGGAACATTAGAGAATAATTAAATACTAGCCTAAGTACTACCGGGAGGTGCGGTAAGAACCCTCAAAAAGGAAAGAAGAGTATGGGTTAGAAGAGATACTAGAAAAGCCAAAAGAGTACTATGGAAAAGATGGATTTTGGGTAGCTATTTAGAAAAGGCAATCTCCAGGGGGCGAGAGTACCCTGAACAAAAAGAAAGACAGGAATGGGTTATCATGTGGGCAGAGGGCAGGTCTCAGAGCTTGCTGAGTTCTTTCACAATTGAAAGACGACGACACAAAGGATAAGAACTGGACATGGAGATCTCTGCTTAATCTTTCCTTGACCTCAAAATTTGTCTTCAGTTTTAGCTTCTATCCACTATAGAATAAATAAGACAGCAATTTAAATTTCAGGCCTTGAGGATTTCAAAAGGTTTATCACCCTGTGAAATAACCCTACCCTAATCCCCTTCCATTAGCAACTCAGGGAGGGCATTTAAGTTTTGACTTTTAAGTGATAAAACATTTGGAGGCTCTCCTACTTTTGAGAATAAGAAAGTGAGCTGCTGAAAGAAGTGTTTCAGGGAAAGCAGCTCGTTTAGTCCTGTATAAGAAAGGTGGAGAGAGGCATGGGCTGGGGCTAGGGAAAAGGTTTTGAGATCAGCTCCAGGGGATGCTTTATTTAGAAATAAATATCACTCTGATGATAAAGGCTGAAATTCAATTAGTATGATTTCATCTGAAGCCAACAGGAGTTGGTGGAAATGAGCAGACATTCCTAAGGAAGAATGATAAAATGTGCTGCAAGCATGACTATCACACCCCAAAGAAAAACAAGCAAAGGTAGCCCGGGGGCTCCCAATCATCATTTCTGGCCATCAGCCCCCCCCCAACCCCCATCCCCTCAAATTAAGCTCTGAGTCTCGACTCTGAAAGCCCCTGGCCTATTTCAGACCCCTATCACTAAGCACCTACATAAAGGCCTTCCTCCCTTCAATTCCTTCCAAATGCTGCTCATCATTCAAAGAGCCAGCAGCAGCTCTCAGACACCTCTTCTGGCATGTTACACAGCCTGCAGTGGGGTTCATCAAAGCAAAGCAAACTCCTCCACACAGAAAACAGACCCTCCATCTACAGGACCAACCAATTCATTTTCCACTTCCTCCCAACTGTGGCTCAGCCATGTTAACCTTTGTTTGCTTGTTTGTTTTGGAAACATTCTCTTTTCTATTTCTACCATCTTCCTGTTTCTTCAACCTGTCATACCTTCCCAAACACATTTTGCCAATCCATTCTAATCATTTACTTAACATTCAAGTTTCATTTCCTCAGCTAGGTCTTCCTTTGGATAAATGAGGAATCAAAGACTGTGTGTTTAAGGACGCAAGGCAGGTAAATGTGAGAGACAAGGTAAAGCAACTAGGATGGTGAGAACCTGGAGAAGGAACGCCCAACCTCGGAAAGATTCAAATTTTAAAATGTTAAACCTTTTTCAGGCCAAACAACACAACTGCCACCATTTTGCTAATTCTGAACTATGCCCACTTGGAGTTAACTCCTGTTATTAAAGCTATTGTTTTTCCAGATGCCTGTGTCTGCAATTCTACCACATTGGGGTGTATTTTTTCATAGGTTGCTTTACTCCTAGTTGTTATGATATAGAAAAGTCTAACACATATTTAACTTACAAGTATTTACCTATATTATGCTCAGCTAAAGTATTATAAAATGATTTGGCCATGTTCTCTTTATATATGTGGTACACACTATGTACATTATATACTTTACAGATTACTGTGTTGTATAGACAAAACAGTACAACTATGATTTACATCAATTTAGGAACTTTGAAGAGTAATTTTTACTTTATCCAGTTTTTGCCTCATCACCTGAATTTAGAACCTAACCTTATATGCTTCTAGTTTTACCTGTATTGCTCGATTTCTCAACAAAAATGGTAAATTTTGTTTACATAGTTTTGTAATGCACAGAGCATTTTTATACTTATTGTCTCAAGTGAGCCCCCTAAAACCAGTCAGTCCTGGGTAGTAGGAAGGCATCATTAGCACCCATTTCAGAGGGAGATAAACGGGTCTCCAGTAGGTAAAGTGTGTTGGTCAGGATCGCCACGCTATTGATTAGCAGAGCTGGACCTCAAATCCAGCCAGCTGGATCCCAAATACAGAATCCTCTCCTTCTCTTGCCTCTGTAGCAGGTTACCTCCTAGGGCTGAACATTTAAAAGTCCTTAAATGCTCATTCAGTTCTTCTGG